CAGGATTAGGTACGCAAAATCGCTGAATGAATAAACATCGCATGTACATATGTAGATGCGCGTATACAAACTAACTTCTTTAATTTTCCCCGTTTTTTAACGCGGCTCATTGCGAGCGACATTTCGCACGCTGTAACTTTCCTCCTCAGTTGAAAGGACGGTCCTGCTACAAAGAGATTGTAGTTTGTAGGTGGAAACTGCAGGTAGACGAACTCGTTTCAAAAGAATCCGCGTATTCTAATTCGGGCAACGTTTCTCCGCGTCGTCGCGTGTATTCCGTTGGTTAAAAAAACGGATTTTTAAACGGCTAAACACATTACTGCCACGTGTGGTCGTCCAAAAACCGAGGGGTCACAGGAAAAACGTGAGAGGATTTTGACGCTTGGGATCATTCAATTTGCGAATAATTACGATCGAGCAATAACGATTGGTAAACAATTTTCGTTCGTTTTATTTTAAATATCATAAAGATTTTTTTTACAAAAAATAATGTACATACGCAAGATTGTGATTGTTAATTAATATCTATTACAAATTTTTATTATCGTCATGTTTAAATGGAATCTTGTTCACTTAAATGGATTGTCTGGCTGTATCAGAAAGATGAAACTTTCATCGCAAGATAATAATCTTTTTATCACAAAATGAGATGACTCATTAGTCAGCGATACTAGATATTCAAAGTACGTACACATACATGTACAAAATTCCACTGTAAATGAAACAGTGACATGTGTGTATAATTGAACTTGGCACGATTAACTTGCATAGCACGTTCTCAATAAATTAATTCTATTTCGATTAAAAGTTTCTTTATAGCTACAGCATTGAAAACTAATTTAAACTGATTGCGTAATTAAATCTTGAGGTGAAGCAAATTCTTTTTCTCTTACAAATTACATACAACATAAATTACCTTCGACAGAAACGAGATCTATAAACACCTACCAGATAAATAAGTTACTGTAATAAACAAATTGTCAGAATATGAACAATTTTAATTACGAGGAAAGAGTCTCCCTTTAATTAACAGGTTCAAAAACAGAACAAGATAATTGTTAAATCTTTTCTCGTAAAAAGCTACGCAATGAGTGGGTAGAGAGTCAAAGCTTTGCCGGCCTTTTTCGCAATAAATTCGTCGCTCCCTCTTCGCTCTCCGTCACGAACGTTTCCTCACGGAATTTCTATAGTTGAACGTAACCGAAGTCGAGGGATGCTTCGCTGTAGCGAATTTGAAATTTAATCGACTTCCAAAATGCGCACGTCCGCGTCACCCTATTTTCATGAATTCTTTATTCAAGAGAAGATAGAGAAGGGAGAGAACGAAGAAAGAGACACGAAAAAGGCGAAAGAGAAGTTCATCCCCAGGAATAGAAGAGAGAGAATGAGAAAGTTGGAGGAACCATATCTAACTGATGGAACCAGATGCATGATTCTTGCATCGCTTCGCTACTTCTAAAGGAAGTCTAACGAGTTTGCACGACGTTGTGCAGTCGAGTTCACGACTAAACCTATTTACCGTCTCAAACAAACCTCATGGAACGACCTCAGTAAGGCCTTTGCTACGAAAGTGAGAAACGCTGTAACTACCGAGAGGAGATTGCCGTGGACTGTTTATGAAACAATTTTCATTGTTAAGGAGTCTGGGAGTCGGCATACCAATTTCAAGCTCCTCCATTAAAATTTTTTTAATTAAAAGATAGGATTTACGTTTCTTGTGTTAGTTCCGTAGTGTAGGACACGTATCCGATCACCAATTCTAACACCTGAGAACATACTTCATCGACAGTTTCCCGTTCAACGGTGTCACGTGCAGAATTCAACGTGAAACAACTTCGGTTCAAATCTGCAGGGCTCACGCGTATCCTGTTTCGACACTAGAATTCTGGTTGGCTTCTTCCGTCTCTGGGGACTGATAAATACATGTTCCCGCTTCGACACGACCTTATAAAAAACCTTAATCGCGATTCGCTTGAGTGCAATTGTGTATCGCAATTTTTGTCTGTCTCTTTGGCCTTTGCTAGAGTCGAACCTAAACTTTCGCTGAACGATTATAACTTATAGTCAGCATATATATTTTCTATATTCTATTGCGTTCTATTTAAATATATGCATGTCTAAAGACGAATTATGTACATCATAATTAGGTATGAAATATCATTAACAGTTGTCCTGCTTCCGTCTGTTATTGATAGATTTGCACAAAATTTGAGCAAGGCGGATGAGAAATTAGCGACATATCACGTATTTCGCGCGTCACAAAGTGTGCATTCTGTTCGCGCCATAACTCAATTTGCAATCCATTTCGCAGAACACTACAAACACATTAGCTTGCGAAATAAAAACAGTGATATAACATAGCTACAATAAAATGAGTAATGTTTCGAGCAAAAACTTGACCACTGACGCAATCGTAAGATACTTGCAACAATCTATACCAACCGTAATGATATTACATGACTGTGAGAACGAGTAAGAAATGTGCAGGCATGCATATTATAAACTACCATTAAATCTGCACGTGTATAAAATAATTCGCACGCTTGCAGCCGGACTGCCCAGCGATGCACTTTTTGATTGCCCTGCTTCGATGCATCTCGAAATCTCAAATATCACAAAACATCGATCGCCGAACTCGAACGCAGTTCCACATTGCGCGTCGAAATTCGAACATCGATCAAAGTCAAACGGGGCGAAAAGAAGAGCGACGTGAATAAATTAATCTTCCGAACGCGAATACGAGCCGAATGAAAAAGTAAAGAATGAAACTTCACGGAGTAGGTATCGGAAGTTAATATCGATACAACAAAAAAGAATTATCTTCCTGCGAGCAACTTTTATACGTCGTTTCATATTACCTGCGCATTTATTACAGTATTTATATTGTATGCAGTCAAATTGTCTCTTAGTTTAGCGGCGAATATTAACGTATTTTAGATTATGATTCACCCGGTATGCATATGTCGTGGCGAATAATTGCACACTCGCAGCTGTACATACGGTACTTACTCGAACGCATGAATGAAAGCCAAGGTGGCGCCCGGGAAAAGAAGATCATCGCTAGCAGCGAGCCAACGTCGACCAAACGCTATAAGACTTGGCATTCTTTGTCCTTCGATTTCGAACTTTCTTCAAGTAATCGTTCTCGTGCACGATAACAGTCATGATAAAACCTGATGCACTGGCGCAAATCGCACGATCAACGCGTCCATCCTCCTACATACTTCTTATCTGCGCTATGAACGAACGACTGGACCATCGGATCTCATGACCACTCGGCTGTCACGGTTACACTGAGGGCACTCGGCCACTGACTACATGAGTAGCTAAAACGTGGAACGAAAGTCTTGCTCGGCCGGTTCGTGGAATTCAAAGAGTGGAGGGAACTACATCACGGCTGTGTTGGGAATTATTTGATATAAGTAATAAAATTTTATCGGTTTGCTACATGACGAGAATTTCTTTTTCGTTTGCAGATGTACACTTACTGACCCGTTCATTCTTCTTGTCCATATAAACATTTATTGCAAACAGTATTGAGCAAATTAAAATAACTATTTCAATATATTGATCTGCACGTTACGCAGTTAAATGTTCAATGAAAAAGTGACAACCAACTAGATAAATCGATCTGTTTTTCGCGAATAATGGGTGACTAGAGATGACAAGCGTGATTATTATAGCTGGCTCAGATACGGTTTCAACGTCGCGCACAGCAAGTCGGTGGAACAATACGCGAGATAAGGGAGAAAATTAACTGCACATTCGTTCAAAGGACCGTGTAAGCTTCACCGATGGGTAAACGTTGTTTTAATTGAAACTTCAGCGATTGCATTCTGTCTCAATGAAAGAAAAACAGTGATTGTGAGGAGAAGCATGTGTTCTGACCATTGCTTGGACGCGGCGTATCCAGTTCCGAGTTTATAGAATTGACGAAAACGAAATGGACGATTGCCAATTTCTCTCCTAGCTATGCTCCTTACTATATCAGGTCATTTGTGAGGCTCGTTAACGATTTTCCGAAGCTAAGACGTACGGACGCGGACCTTCGTGCCATGACGCGAAAACTACCCTTTGATCATCGCTAATAATAAGCCCAGGGATGTTGATGCCGAATAATTTGCTCTAAACAGTTAATAAATTATAGTTTTTCTCTAAAAATGTACTGGATTTCAGTTTGTACACAAATAAATAATTGATCACTGCTACTGACATTCTAGTTATCAGTGTTTTAAAAATATCGCAAACTTTTAATTGTATCCAAATGAAAAGTATATTGAATTATATTCTGTTGCAATATAATTCGTTAAAAAATGGCTCCAAACAAAAAATGTACTCCAATGTACTCCATGCGGCACTGCCAGGGCGCTTAATTGCTAATTAAATTAAAGTAAGTGAGCACTATGTAATTGCAAAATGTTGACAGGTGGCACAAAGACAAGCGAGTGTCCTCGATTTTCTGTTGTCTCATAATTTTTGTGTCTTATACCAGGAACACCGTAACTCGGACTAAAACCTACAAATTGGAATGCAACTGAGAAGCTCAGGAGTGTAATTGAAATTCCTTCCTTTTTGTCAAGTAAATTAATTACAAGACCAATCACTTTCGAATTGTGTTAAAACAATTAACCGATTAATTTCATATATTCGAAATTTGTCTACTAATCTAAGTACTAAATATACGCGGAAAGCCCAAGCTAATCATTGAATTACGATGCCAATTAAATGACGGAAATTGTAGATATATTCTGAGAATTGCTCTATCTAACTAATTGAAATACGTATATCTAATATAGTATGTAGATCGACTAAAATGTAGGTCACGCAGAATCATCCGCGGATACATCCTATTTTAAATACCATCTATAAATACGAGGATGTCTTTTGCCCTGATAGGACATCCTATTAAAAATTCTTGAAACTGCTGAAAATAACGACGATTATCGTGGGATAAAGTGATTGATCGAGACCCGTTATTAATATCGGCATTGTTCACTCACCATATCAAATGCAGGATGAACAGGAAAGCACCAGGCACGACGAGATCGTCGCTGCCGACGCTCCATCGACGTCGAAATACCACGATACCAGGCATCTCTTTTTCACGATCGTTACGTTCTGCTTATCTTCCATCCAATCGGCCACCGTCGCTGTCGATGCTCGACTTCCAACGAGGATCAATGAGGATCGCGATCACCAGCCTTAGCCCTCGAATCACCGGGCGACATGAACTTGAACCTTACACCGGGATCTTTTTGTAATCCGACACGAACGCCGGACGCCTCGGTAAGGTCCCCGTCGTGCTCCGCGATGCGCATTTCCGTGACTTAATTTCGATAATCCCCGTGTCTTCTCCATTCTCCTCGCGAGAATCCTTCGTCGAAGAAAACGTTGTGCTTCACGGACGCGTGTGTCAGCGTTACGTCGCACTGTCGCGTCGCGATGCGACGGCGGTGCATCGCGTTCTATTCTTACAATTAGTACCGAAGTCCGAAGCTCAATCGTCTTGAAGATTCATTTCCGGTGTTACGCGTATCTATCCCTGTTAATCCTTTTCGATCCGACACTATCCACTCACTCGCGAATTACACACACATATATATGTATATATATTGTGTCGCTGTAAAAAGACAAGTAATCCTGTTTTCTACGGATATAGTCTTTGCAAAGATATGGTATTATCTACACGATAGTTTAAGAAAGTGCTCAATATTTGATATGATAAATCGTGCGCTCTCTTCAGATCATCGCACTGTTCTAATATTATTCTTAGTACTCTTTAAACTATAAAAAAACGAGAACGAATTACCGAAAATAAATCCATAGTACGGAACCCTGTCGTGCTATTAAGGGAAATGCTGTTGCTTTTAATAGTCAGTAATTTAATTAGCTGAACTTCATTTTCCTCTTATTAAAGGTAAGCACGAACTAACGAATACTTCATTCTGTTTTAAAAGACATTGTTTCGTGACATGATCGCGAGCCATAGAATTCATCCATCTCTGTATAAAAATGAATATCGTACAACAATAGGGGCCAGAAAAAAGCACGCGGTTACGCGAGATTGAATAAAAAAGTGAAATGAACTAACGGATTTCTATACGTATATGCTGAAATGTATTCATAATTGAATTGTATTTTATATCACTTTTAAGATCCAATGTTAGAACAGCGCAAAGAATAAAATTATTTACAATTAATCCCCAATTCAAGTCTTGCAGATCAGATTTGTATCTTAAAGAATATCGAAAATTCTTTTCTTTGGAGAGGAGCGAAACTTTTAAACCGTAGCTCGCTTCTAAAGTCCCTTTTTTCATCCGCAGACCAGGGATTGGAGAATTTGATCTAAGTAAGACCACGAGGGATGAAATCTTTTACCGCAATTGGAGAAACTCGTTTAGCTGACGCGAACGAAATCTACTAAAAGGAGCTACTAGATCTGAAAGAAAAATCTCATTGTTTGTCGAGTAGCTCGATGCAGCTTTTCACTTGTACCAGTTCATTGCGATTTAAGAATTACATTTTAACTTACATTTAAAATTTTGAATTAAATTTAGACAGGATTTAGCCGCGTTTTAAACACTGGCATATCTCCTTATCCCAAACCACTTTGAATTTTATCGATAAATTTTATACGTTGATATATATCGCAACTTTATGCTGAGATTACATACGTACTTCATTACATCTCTAATTGATATCTTTGTCTGCACGGTAGATCAATTTTAATTAACTTACTGAAGTCTCCCTGCTAAATGGTTACACGTACTTATTAGTTACCCTCTTCTGAACTCCAGAGTTCCTAATACTCTCGATTGAACTATTATACTTCCATTGCAGTCTAAAATTTGCCTGTTACCTCGGCAAGTTTTATCGATTTTTTCTTCATAATTCAGTTTATTTATTCGTGTTTGCTATGATATTCATCAAGACATTTTCCAGTCATCAAACTAAACAAAACGCGAACGAAACGATTCACATGTATCGCGGTCCTTCATCCTTAACACGTACAGCATCATCTCATCGTAGCTAGACTGCGACTCTTCATAAAATTATTCGACGTTTTTGTTTTAAGTTTTCGTCAACTGTTCCGTTCACTACGAATGTCAAGTTGGAAAGATCAGGTGATGAACCGTCTGATAGCGCTTGCAAAGGACGTAACATAAAGAAACAAACTTTCCTTCCGGCAAAGCCGATCGGCCGGCGTTACCGTCTACGATGCCGCAACGCGTGTATCTGCACCCCTATCATCATCGCACACCGTGGAAGATCGTCTGAATAACACGACGACCACAAGGGATGCATTTTATTTATGAAACTCTGGACCGAAGCTGCACCACGTGTCGAAAAAACATTGCATCGTGAATGCGGGACGCCGTGACGAAAAACACAAAATTCCACGACCGTCGAGGTGAGCCACCTCGAGCGCGACTGAGCACGAGCACCCAATTTGAGGCATGGTGCACCCACCCTCCTCCACGGGACCGAGGGCCGAGGGCGCTCAATTTGTGTTGATAGACGCGCGTGCGTCGCGACGCCTTCTGCGCGGCTAGCAAACGCTGCTACGTCGTCGTCGTGCGTCCCATCAACCACATACTTGCACTCACTCCGTCTCGTTTATAAACGACAACGCGAATGACAGTCGTCGAATCGAGCACCGACGACAGACAATTCTCAATTATATTTTTTTTAAATTTCTTTGCCCTTTAACGAAATTGGGGGATGAATATGTTTGTAATTAATTTAAGAACTTAATTTTAGTGCACTTGCTTCTTTTTGCATTAAAAGAGATTGGTTTATGTGTTGTAGATAAAGATGTGTCACCTAGTGATAACTAACAGTAAGAATGAATTCGAATAAAAATAATTTCAGGA